AGACCAAAATAAAGAGGAGGCGACCATGACAGAGGGGGGAAGGAAAGAGGAAAATCTGTTCAAGAAAAGATAACCGTGGCATATGCAAAGGGCCTGTGGAGGATGAACCTCAGCAAGTTTAAAAAACAGCCCAGCTGGTGTGGTTCCTGGTTGAGCGTCAACCTATGAACCAGGAGGTCACGGGTTCGATTCCCAGTCAGGGCACATGCCCAGGTTGCGGGCTCGATCCCCAGTCGGGGGGGTGCAGGAGGCAGCTGACCAGTGACTCTCTTTCATCACTGATGTATCCATCTCTCCCTCCCTCTCCCTTCCTCTCTCCAAAATGAATTTAAAAATCACACATATTTTTAATTTAAAAAAAACAAAACAGAAAAAAGGCCATTTTGGCTGGAGCCTACAGGGTGAGGGTCAAGAGCAGTGAGAATTCTGGGGAAACTTTGAGGGATCACAGGAGAGTGGCTGCTGTGTGTAGGGTGGGGGAGGAAATGCATGCCGGCGGGAAGTACCAGGAGGAGGTGTTTGGGGACATCAGGGAGACGTGATGCAACTTGAAGAGGGGATCTGAGCCGGGGTGCGGAGAGGGGGCTGGAAACCCAGGCTGGAGCCTCTGTGAAGACGTCTGGATATCAAGATAAGGTACTGACAGAAGTGCTGCTATGAAAGAGCCCTGAAATTTCAGAAAGAGCCGTACAAGGATGACATTTACATGGCATTCACGGGACTGTCAGAGGGTGGGTTGATAAGCAGCTCCTAGGTACTCTGTCACCCTAGAGTGCTTTATTGACACCAAACATGAGTTCCCTGAACCCGTGGGGACCACTAACACACTCCAAAAAACCAGGATCTCCCTGTTGCGAAGTCCCTTCTGCCAACTGAGCTCAGAATTACCGTGTAGCAGCTTCCTGCCTGGGAGAACAGATGTTAATTGCCTATTTTTCTTCCCAGATTTGTGGGGAGCTCATGGTTGCTACACTTGAGCTATCCATGGGACTGAAGAGCTTGGCGCCCTCCCAAGGATCGTGAGATTCGGGGTGGCTGTGGCGTGGCGCGAACACCTCCCGGCCCCGCCCTCCCCTGAGGGCTCCGGTGCCAGAGTTTAACCTGGCTCTGCCACCTTCCAGCTGTGTGACCTCAGACGAGACACCTCAGCCTTCTCTGCTGCAGACTCCTGCTCCGCAGAGTGGAGGCAATATTAGTGCATAACTCACAGGGTAAGGTGTGAATGACATAATTCGTGGGAAATCCCCAGAACAGTGGTTATCCCTAAGTAGAGGTCAGCTGCCTTCATGGGCAGCAGCAACAGCACTGGTTTCCTAGCCAACCCTTCCCTCCCCCTGCCCCTGGGGGTTAATGACAAATGGCTCGATGAGATAATGCACAGGACAGCTGGGTTGTTATAGGGACTCAGTAAACATCCCTTCCTCCCCATCTCTCCACAAAGCCCCATTCGCCCCGAGAATGTTCTGGCCTGTGATCCTGAGCGACACTAAGCGTTGTTTGGGCTACTGGCTCCATGTCAGAGACACTGTGACCCCCCCCGTCTGTCATTGGGTGCCGCTGCTGGTATATGATGCCACATCTCTTTCCTGCTGCCACCCAAGGTCCTCAACCAAAGTAGAAGAAAAAAGGCAAGTCTTTATTCTGCACCACCTCACCCAAAGAATCCCTGCTCAGGGGAACTAAGAGGAGGGACTTCTCACAAGGAGAAGAAACGGACCAATGTTAATTAGTAAAAACAAAAAATCAAAAAAGAGAACTGCACATATAAAGTGATGGTAAGTATATAGATACAGGCCAGGAGGGCTCACGATAACATGCGAATAGCCAGTGCGGCCGGGTAGTGGGCTGCTTGTGCAGACCGGTGCGGGGGAGCCTATACGGTGCATCTTGAGAGTATAAGACCAATTTTTAAAATGAATAAATATGGCAGAACTCACCAAAACTACAAATGTGTAATTTATAATTACAAATGTATAATGTGCTCCCTTTGATGCAGAGACTATGCTTTTGGGCACCTGTCTTACAGAAATGGTCTCACGCTCTGGAAGATCCATGTGCGCATGCATGTGTGTGTGTGTGTGTGTGTGTGTGTGTTTGCAGGATATTTATTAGCTTATTGTAACTGCCAAAAATCGAGATAATGATGAGCTACAGGGGGTAGTAAAGGAAACAGTGCCTTTCGAATATTCATACACTGGGATCCTGTAGAGCTTTCAACAAGGGTGAGAGGTGCGCAGGGCTCACATGGAAAGAGGCTTTCCCTACATTGTTGGGAAACCAGCACGCTGCTCCGGAATGATGTATGCGGCTGGACGGCCCCACCGTGTATACCTGTGTGCACTGGGAAATGCCAGAAGAGCATAAATCAAACTATTATAAAGGCTTAGCCTTTGGGTCCTGTCAGTGGGAGAGGGTGGAGAGACAAAGTAGGGTTTTAGTTATTGCTTTCCACGACTCAGACTTTCCTTCTCTCACATATTTCTTTTTCTTTTCTTTCTCTCTCTCTTTCCTTTCTTTCCGCTCCTGCCCTGATGGTGGCCGGGATACACTATTGAATGAAGTGCTTTGTTTTATTTCAAAGAGTACTTTATTTTAAAGCCTATTCAGTGGAATGTTTGGAAAAATAACTTTGCTCAGATGAAAACGGGTGAAACAAAGGCACGGATTTGCAGGGTGACTGAGAGTTTTGCCCAAGGCCTCGCAGCCAGTGAACTGAAGAGCCCGGCTCCAGTCAAATCCGCCACCTCCACCCCACTGGCTGCCTTGAGGGGAGGATCGATTGGGTCTCACGCATCCACCACTCCCTCTCCTGGGATTTCTCTTCTGTGCTTCTCAACACTGGAGCTGAGATCCCAGAAAATAAGGGCCTAGCTCTGTTATTGCTGGAAAAGAGTTCTGCTCGAAAGAAAACACGAGGGAAAGAGTGGCCCACTGGGAAGAGGGGGCCAATAGCACCTTCCCCTACTTCCCAGGAGTTTGTCTTCTGTATCCTCTGGATTCAGCGCCATTCTGTCCCCTGGGCTGCCACCATCGTATGAGTCAGATACCTTCCCCGCCAACCATGAGAGCAACTCAGAGAGGCTCTGCAGGCGGCTAAAATACACAGCAGCTAAAATCGCAAGCCTGTGTGTGTTCTCTTTAAGGAGCACAGGGCCTGGATGGCCCCATCTCCCAGTGAAACGGGCCATGCCCGCGATGCGACGTGGGCATGACAGATGTCTATGGCAAAGGTTCTGGCAGGAAGCTGAGGCTCGCTGCCGGGGATCTGGGCTCTTACCTCAGCTTTGCCCCATCCTTGCTGTGTGACACAGAGGCCCAGGGCCATGCGAGCCTCAGCTTTGGTTTCCTAACCCGCATCCCCGTTTTTTTCTCCTGGGAGGGTAACGACAATGTGAAGGCAGAGGCTCTGCCTTCCTCCCCTCTACTGCAGGGTCTGTCCTGGCGTCTGGCACAGTGTAACGACTGTGAGGACTGATGGCAGGAACGACAACAAGAGAAACGTGTGCTGAACATTGACTGTGTCTCCTCATTTAAATTTCCTCACCACCCTGTGAGGCAGAATACAGTGTCATGCCCCTTTTATGGGAGAGACACGGGGGCCCGTCTACGGTCCCAGAGCTAGTAAAGGTGAATGGAAGACTTAATTTCTGAGTCATGCTACCTCCTGAGCACAGACTCTTTATGGCCACGTTGTATGGCCTTCCAGGTTGGGGGAGGGGAGGAGAGAGGGCAGTGACCTGCCTCCGAGACCCATTCCCCACTTTGACGATGTTTGCTGTTCTGCATGTGGAGCTCGGTGGAGGCACGTGTGGGGCGTGGCTCATAAAAAGATGCACCTGAGAGGAAAGATCTTAGGCGCAGAGGAGAAGACTGTAGGGTTCAGAGCTGTAGGGCTGAGCCAAGCACTGAGGGTTCCTCTTAGCCCTCGGAGAGGAGTGGGTCAGTGTCAGAACTGGGGTCCCCAGGCCAAACCTTTAATCTGTTATCACCAGCATCACAAAGACAATGTGGAGACAAAGCAGGACGGTACGTCTGTGGCATTTATCTAAAGGAAAATAGCCAAATTCCACCTATAAACAAGCTGGAGCCATAGACACTTAACAAAGGCAAGTGTGAACACATCGCGGGTGTATGACCAAATCATTAACTGTCACCAACAGACTAAATGATGTCTTTGAAATAGCAAATGTGAAAAAGAGTGAGGGGTTTTCCGCATCAAACATTCCAGTATGAGCCAGGAATAGTTGCGAAATATAAATGCAACCTCAGGCTGCATCAACAGAAACATCAGAGCTAGCAAGAGGGAGGTGAGAGTCCCACTTTGCTCGGCACGGGAGCATTCCCACCTCCAGGAAGAGGAGTGTCAATTCTGGTGTTCCACTCCAGGAAACACAAACTTATAATCTCCACCTAGAGGGCAGTGACCAAAATGATAAAATATCTGAAAACTACATCATGTGAGAGAGCTGAAGAAACTGGGATTGTGTATTTAGGTTGATTTCCAGAAGTTACAGGGAGTGGTTTTTTTGTGTGTTTTTTTTTCCGTGTTGTCAAATTTCCCAAGAGATGCCTTGGAGAAGGAAGCTAAGATTTACTTTCTTTGCGGACCTGGAAGGCCAGGGAAACACATTTCAACTCAATGTAAGAAAACACTTTCTAACTGCAGTGTCTGGAAATGAGATGAGCTCTCTCCTGGGTAGTGAGGCGGCCATCGAGGGGGCGAATCAAGGGACACCTGAGAGGTGCTGGACTCCATACCTTCTGATGCTCCCGAACACTCCAATTCCAGGAACACGGACACTTTCCCCGCACCCCCCTCCCTTCACTCTGCACCAAGAAGAGAGAGCAAACTCTGCTAACCCAGCAGAGGCTGCCCATCGATCCTCGAGGGCTTAGCCCAGAAGACAGCACCGGTGTCCCCAAACCGCCGTGGCTCCCACGCCTCTTCCCAGCTCCCCCAAAACGGCCCCTGGAAGGTGGGATGCACCAGGCGGACTCACCTTTCTTCTCAAAGTCGCCCTTGTCCTCGCCCGGCCGGCCCAGGCTGTCCAGCCCGTGGGTCCCCTGGCTGCCGAAGTCGTCGTCGCGGGCGACGTGGTTGGCGCGGCGCGGGGGCTCCTCGTCGTCCTCGTAGTCGTAGTCGTCCAGGATGGGCGTCTCGCGGATGGGCACCCCGATGACCGAGCCGTGCGCGGGCC